GGTGGAGCAGACATGAAGTTTCCTGGGAGTTTGTTATATCAGTCTAACATCGGCTGAAATACATTGACCTTAAGAGAATAAGCGCAGATGTGCTATTTCACTAAGTGCACGCCATTTATTTAATGATTGTGACTTTTGTTTTGGTTGTCATCTCCTAATTAAATTGCTCATGAGACATGATGCACAGGTAGCTGACCACCTCTCCTCAACTGTCTGGAGTTGTCTGAGTTCTTGCTCTGCTGTAATTGGAGAATTGAGAGGAAATTCTCGTTAATATGGTTTATATAATATAATAGTTCTTTAGTTTACTGGCTGCTGTTTTTACTTTTGTATGTTTTGAGTGTCAGAGAAGTTTAGTCTGTCCGCTGCTGCTTGTGGCTCCACGCTGAGCAGATCCACTCCAAGCTAATTAACATTAGCATATTTGCAGACCTCGACTGTTCCCTTGCTGTTTGTCTCAGTGAAAACGGCCTGGGAGGTTGCTGGGGAGACCGAGCTGCCCTCCATCTTTAATGAGCTATAGTCCACTGAGCAGCAGATCAGCCAGCAGATGAAAGTGGGCTCCCGGAGCTGGAGGTAGCCGGATCCTGCGGCTCCTTCCTGTGTGGTGTTTGCTGGAGGCAAGGTGAAGAAATGAGACAGTAGGGCGGCGTCTTGTACATTTTGGTTGACTGTGGAGAAAAGGAAACTAAGACTCTCCCTACCCATCTTTGATCTCACCTCGGAGCATCCCCCACTGTCGGCCATAGCTTTGTGGCTCTGGAGGTAATTGACTTCACCTGGCTGAGGAGCTGTTTCTTCTAGTGGATTTAAAAGTTGTGGGCTTGGTTAAGAAACTACCTGCTGACAGTCTGATGGCAGCCAGACCCCCACTTTCCTCCTTCCCTCTGAGTCTGTCCTTTATTTTCTTATTTCAGCTGTTTATTTGAACTGGCCTGCTCCCCCACCACCCACCCCCAGTTGGTGCTGGTGGGTGTAAAGATAAAAGCTCAGAGTTTGCAGTTGTTTGATAGCGTGTTATCCTAAATGAAAGCAACAACTCCGGCTTTTCCAGTGCAAAAGTTTTGAATCTTAATGAACCTTTCTGGCCTGATTTACCTTTGGTCGCTGCTGGTGTCTAAGGAAATGACAGTAAAATGACTACATTACAGCTCTGAGACATTTATAGATACCAAACCCTCGATCTGTCTGGAATGAGAATGACAGTCCCCGTTCTTGTCCAGCACTCCCTGACTGGCTCATGGCTTTTCCTACCTTCCCATTAAGCATTGATTTGGCCCAGATTTTCAAATCAGCAGATGTCTAGACACCGTTTCATCTGCAAATGTGGTTAAGTTGGACATAACCTTTGCTTCAACTGCATTTCAATTACTGTATATCAGCATGTAGATAAGACCTGCTTCACAATGCAAAAAAGTCATTAAAATGCTGTTGAAGCCAGTTATATGTAACTGGCTAAACTAAAGACTTAAGACTTTAAGACCCAAGACCCAAGCCAGTCTAACTGGGTCAAATACGGTCCTGTGATATTGCTGCTGATCTTGGTAATACAGACTCTTTACAAACTGGGATTATATAGTGTCTTATATTCATCATAAGAGAAAGATGTTTTTGATGAAAGACAGATAAGGTCTGGGGACACATTTTGAATCGGGTCTGATTATCCAGGCGTCTCTTTGGATCAGGTCTCATTTGATTTGAAAATTAACTTATGCTCATTTGGTTTTGGTTGGTTCTTCAAAGATCCATCTTGGATGAAAGTGGCCTCTATTCTTTAAAAGACATCCAGAGGTCTATGACTTTTTTTTGGCCTGTAAATTTCCAAATCGGTGCTAACTGGATTGTATTCTTAACTTGAACTTCTTTTGGAGATGGAAGATTGATGCCTCTGTCACAAATGAACAACACCTGCCTCATTGGTTGTAGCCTACAGGACCTCAGGTGCACATTTATTTTACACAATTGATCCAAGTGCCAAATGGATCAGTCAGTGTAGAGCACATATCAAAGTGCTAACTTATTTATTTAGATTATATATTCATTCAGAAGCTGTGCTGCGCCTGAATCAATCATCATGGCAGAACTGACCTTGTATTAATCCATGATATTGAGTATTGTCTTCTCTGTTGTTTTTCTCTGAATTTGGAAATGTTCCAGTGTCCCAGAAGAAGAATTTTAGAGAGTTATTCTCAACTACATCCCCTGTCACTTAGATGATCATAACCAGCCATGTCCCTATATGGTCACCAGGATTTTAACTGTTGACCATTTTGGTGTTTGTTTTGTGTGTGTTTTTTCTTTTCTGACATTCTACTCTTTTTAAGTTTAAATTCGCACTTTAAAAGTAGTTATTTGTTAATTTCGCTATTGCTCCATAGCCAACGTTAGCAATAACAGCTGTTTACTTACCAGTCTTGGCAAGAGCTTCAGCGATCGTTGTGTTTACAAGACGAGGTTAGAATACGTTCTCTGAGCAACTACTTCTTCAGGTTAGCCTTGATGCTACAGAGACTCAGGACTCGGGCCGGGCCGGAGCTAGCTGATTAGCATGCTAACTTAAGTACCAGAAAAGAGAAGTGATAGAAATAGAAGCAAAACAAGAGGGTTGCTTTCTACCACTGGAGACTGCTCTTGGTGAGTAAAGGAAGTTTGATGCTGAACTCACAATGTTTGTTCTAGACTGGGAAGCAAACAGCGATTAATGATGATGTTGGATGTCACAATTGTAAAACTTACAAATACCTCCTTTAAGCATCGGTTTGCAATTTTTATCTGATAAAAGCGTATAGTTTTTGCTGGTTTTAATTTTTATTCAATTAACTGATATTATTGTTATTGATAATTTGATATTTAAACGAGTTTGTTTTCATGGTGCTCCTCACCTCATTAACACTTTAAACTCTGCAGATGCATCCAACCTTTGAGGTGCACCGTTTGTTCACTATATCAAATACTTCAAACTTTACCCAACAACATAAAACCATCATCATCATCATCATCATCACGTTTTCTCCCTCAGCGGCATCTATGTCTTGCTCTGAAGGAGTGTCCCACTGTGTAGAGTGCTCTCTGGCATGCCAAAGCCCTGCAGGCTGAAGGGAAGAAAGTGGAGTATTTTCTTTGTTTCTGTAATATCTAAGATTGTAAGGCCAAATTAGTGTGCTCGAAGCGTTCCCTCTTCAGTCCTTTGAAGCTGCCTGATGATCCACATTCTGCCTCTCTCTCTCTCAGGGGACAGCAGCCAGGCTTTTTAGCTACAGCCTTTATTTGCTATGAAGGCTCAACGTACTCTTTAGGTATGCCCTGCTCCTCCTCCATCACCTTCGTCCTTCATGGGCTCGCCTGCCTTGTTTGATGGCTCGGAAAGCTTCAAATGCGGCTTGAAGAGCACCCTTCAACGGCGAGGGCCTTTCCCTAGAAGTGACAGGTTTACTCCCCGGGAGCGTGTGGCGGCGAGGTGCTTTCGCCGTACTTGTCACATGAAAGCTCGACCTTGCCGTCGCCCCGTAGGTTAATTTGACAGACTTTGTGAACACGCAGCGGCAAGCAATTGATAATGGTTCAAAGAGTCTTTTATCAGCCGCTGGTAATGGGTGTCCAACATACAGAGAGAACAAGAGCACCTGACTCGTCCTCTCTACTCACTATGGGAGAAGATGGTAATGGACAGAGCGAGAGATGAAGAGTGTTTTTTTTTTGTGTGTGTGTGTGTGTGCAGCAAAGCAAGCCGCTCTCATTTCAGGTGTGTCCATGCGTGTAACAATTGCTCATGTGCAGACATTTCAAGATGTAAGCTTCGCCACGGGGTGTGTCGGCGGGAACGGAAACACACACCTCGGCTGTGACAATGCGTCGCGGCGGCGGAGCGGGCGCTTGTTTTGTCCGATCATGCCTGCTCCGAGCCGTTTTATTGCCCGTCTCCATGACTCGGGTCTCCGGTGTCTATAGCAGCGTGGTCACAACCCCCAACACGTGAAAAACAATCCCTATAGTCGCAGCTTTATTTTCTCACAGCTGGAGTCTTTTCACTCTTTCTCCCCCCTCTTCTCATTGCATTGTCATCCTGCTGGCTTCATCCATCACTTCTACTCCTCTTCTCTCACCTTCCCTTTATTCCCAAGTACGCTTCACCTCATTTCTCATCCAACCCTTTTTTTTTTTCTCTTTCTCGTCTGTTAAACCTTCTCTGCTCTGTCATCTACCGCTCCTGTGCTGTAAAGGAAGACGAGAATGGAGAAATTGTCCCTTCTGTCTCTTCCACAGGGAGACTCTTTTCCTAATTAGGCTCTTCTAGTACACATGATCATTCTCCTGTAACAGGGATACAGAGAACTGGTAGAATATGATTGAATTCCTAGATTACCAACATAAAAAGGCCATGGGTTGCATGTGTTGTGCATGTGTAAACACACAGTAACATTGAGTCTTGAATGTTTCTTTTGAGATTGAGGTGTTTGTTTGTTTGTTTTTGTCGGAAATCTTTCCTACAAAATAAAATACCTTGAACCTTAAGCAGTGATGATTCTGTCATTCAGTTTCACAAGCTGATTCAACTTACTTCAAGATGTGCCTCCTTATGCTGGGACCAGTTCACAGTGTAGTTAATTCTGAAGAGCAGTTGGCACAAAATCTGAAAAGCGAATATGAAAAACAACTTTTAAGGATTTGTTATTTAAACATAATAAACCAAATGTAAGTGGTCTTCTTCATTTTTAACTCTAAAGTCTAAGTATAAAGTCTACAAAGGGCATTATAAGGTGTGCACAGATCGGTAATCAGGTAGTCATACGGTACCTATTTTTTTCCAAGAAGTTGGGTTTGAAAAAGTAACGGCCAGAGTTAGCGATATAATATTGTGTATTGCGATATTTGGACTGGACTGTATCCCGACATTAAACTTTGTATACTGCCCAAGCCTATAATGTATTTTATACTGTACCTGGGCCCCCCTCTCAGCCAAGCCTCCCTCTCATCCGGTCCCTCTGTCTGTCCTCCTTCAGGTGCTCTCGCCGTCCTGATACCAGAGCTGGACCTCGTCATCTCATTGGTCGGCTCGGTCAGCAGCAGTTTCCTGGCGCTGATCTTCCCTCCCATCCTCCAGATCCTAGCTTTTCACGAGGAGGGCCTGTCGCCGCTGGTGACCGCCAAGAACATCGTCATCAGCCTGGTGGGGCTGGTCGGCTTCCTCACAGGAACTTACATCGCCATCGTGGAAATCGTCAACCGCAACGCACAGAAACACGAAGAGACGTTCTCCTCCTACTTGGTCCAGTGATGACGTGAAATGACTCTTGGCAGGTGGAGGTAACCCACCCAGGACATCTAGAAACCATTTTAGGGCACATTTGAATTTTTATCTTCCTTGATTTGCTGCTGTTGGACATGTCGGCCATATTAGGGTTAATCTATAAAATTGTTGAAGCAGTATGAAGGTGTAAGGATTCATGGTGCTTGATTTTGTGTTTCGTTATGTCACTGCTGTACTACGGCGTCCTGTAGTACTCACATTTGATCAAATCCAGCCATTTAGTGCAATCTAACAGTAACATAGTTATGGTAAAAGCTAAATTATTCCTTCAAGTAGGAGATTGTCATGAAAAGATTTTCAGAATAATGGGTTTTCAGAGGTCTGTTATCATTTTACTGCCTGAATATGTTAATGCTTTTAATGTTTCAGTCAAAAAATCAAACTACCTCACAAACTGGTATCAATTCGGTCTTTTAAAACTAACATCCAGATTAGACGCTGTTGCAGAAATTGTGCGGACTTATAACCCTCAGCCCAGACAACATCTCTCTTAGACCTTTTCTCCACCTCATTAAAAAAAAAAAAAAAAAAAAAAAAAACAAAAAAAAAAAAAAATCAACATATTTTCTTGCACTTTGATTTATGCCTTATTCAGCGAGAGCGCGCACTACTTTCACAGTAGTTTTAGACAGCGCATTACATAAACTTTAAATCAAGTAACTGTAACTTAAAAATCAATGTTGCAAAAGTCAACAGAGATTTCTTTTTAAACAGTGTTGGGTATCGAAATAGTTTGGACTTGGAACCAGTTTGAAAGGAATAAGAACCACAGATTCTTTATGAGTTGTGCGTTTCAATTTCACCTTATCAAATCCCGACAGTGAGGTTAGTGCCTGCTGCCCATCGGTCTACATCAGTTACATGTGTCTGAGCATCTAATACAGAGGAGACCTTATCCTCATCATGTAATAATTACTTCATATCTCATGATAACGAGACCTTCATCTTATAATCATAAACACACACATCTTGTTATTACTGTATCATTACATTACTGTCGTATTAGTTGCAGGACGGGCTGGTTACTTACAAAAGGGAACACAGAGGCTTTACCTGTCTTTGCGTTTTGAGTTCATCAGTGTGATCTTACACAGCAGCGTACAAAACCACCACATTATCATTAAGTGGCCAATCATAGTACTGAGGTTTTATCAGCTTTGGACTGGTGGATGAAAAACATTAGACAAAAAGTAGATCTTTGTGGGTTTGTTTGTGCCTAAATTTTACCAACGATTTAGGAGACCTGAAGAGCCTGATAATCAAACTGAACTGTCATTTCATTTTTACTTTATTAGTTGAACACTGACTCACAAGTCTCGTATCAGACCTGTACCTCTTAATTTCGAGGTCCAGATTTCTCATAATGACGAGCGATGGAACTCGTCATGAGATACGAAGCGGGATACTAGAGAAAAGGTTTTTCTTTGGTGAACTCGTACGAACGAAGCAACAAAATAATAAAACAAAAGGGAGGAGTTTTTACCACAAAATCAATTTAACTTATTCATGACAAGATAAAGAACATTTTTATTTTAATTATGTTAAGTTATAATAAAGAGTTTTTTTTTTTTTACTGTTGCACATATTTTGGTTGCAAACAAGAAACCGGCTTTGATACGAACCCAAATTGATGAGCACAATGATAATCAATCAAATCCTAACTGATACCCAATCCATTGAACAAAACAAAAACACAGATTTTTACAAACTTAGTTCTTCTGTGTTTATGTGGGACCTCTTCTGTTCATTCTTGTCTTTAAAACTTTTATTTTTTTTATCCACTTGTTTTTTTTTTTTTATGTGTTTTTATGTTTTAATGTATTTACTAAATTAATGATTCTGTATTTTTTGAATAGTTTTTTTTTTTAATTCAAACAGCATGCATTTTGAAGAGTTACAACTAACTCTCACTAACTTTTATTTCAGTTTAATTACAGCGAAACTCTGCATGTAATATAATGTAATATGTATGTAAAATAAAACATGATTTAACCACAAGTTGTAGGTATTCTAAGATTCACACGATAAACGGTACCTCTGCTTCAGTGGGCAGACACAGGCTAACACATGTACTGTAAGATCATCATCAAGCTTCTGTACTGTTGAATGTCTCCAGTGTTGATGTGACAGTTCGAGCCTTGTGTGTAAAGGATTTGTAACAGCTGTTGGTTTACGTCACAGTTTAAGCTGTTTTTGTGTGTATACACATGTGAGCATCCGCACAGATGTTTCATCTTATTTTTAATGATTATTCTCCGTCATCTATGGATGGATTCATGTGCTAAAACTGTTTAAATGAGATTTTTCTCCAAATTTGCTACTGGACACTTTAAGATGATGATGGTGATGATGATTATATATGTGCAGCTGCCCAAAGAAGACTAATTTAGTTCATTATTTTTCAATTAGTCAACCATTTAGTTCATCAGAAAACTAAACAAATGAACATTTTCTTTTTAGCACTCGTTGGTTTCTTTATTCTCTGCTCAGAATAAATAACATTCAAAGTGTCCTCATGTGTTTTACTGTCTTTTTCAGGCAGCTGTCAAAACAATTTCTTTTGTCAAAGTACTGGTTCCTCTGAGGGTTAAAGTGAAACACAAGAAACATTCATTCGTCTCAGCTCTGGCTGCAGAATTTCCCTCGAGTCACTGGACTGTGCAGAGCTTTTTCTCCACACTCAGCAATAACATGTTCTTTTATTTCCCTTTTTACACATCGGAAGCCACAAGTAGCAACAGAAATATATCCAGAGACAGAGTTTCCAGACTGGACGGTCTTTATTAAATTAGGAAGATAAAAAATTACACATTAAAATTTAGAGCAGTTTTCAGTTTCCAACAGATTAGCGGAGCACTGAGTTCAGCAGCTCAGCTCGACACAATGACTGATAACTGATGACCATTTCAGTTTATTATAACTAAGGTGAAACTATTACAGTTAAATAAAAGATTTGCAAAAAGCTAAGATCTGTTCTGCTCTGTAGTAACATCATTCAAATGACTTCTGTTGTATTTTTTCATTTTTGTAACTGTGGTTTTGATTGTGCTGTTAAAACATAAGAGCAGAGTTGACACTGTCCATGAATCCAATTCAAAGACAGTTGAAATCGGAGGCAGTTGTTCATCACTGCAGCTAAACTGCGACGCTAATTCCTCCCTCAGTTGTTCCTGTCTTCAGTTTGGTTTGGAGAACAGTCTCTTCCATAATAAAATGCTAATTATAAAACCCCCAGAAATCAAACAGTGACCATTTCACAAATTCTGCTTAAGGAACAACAATTTCACATTTCATTGCTGCAACTTGTGATTATTTTCATTATCGATGATGCTGCCTGATATTTTCTCAATGAATTGATTCAGTTTAGAAAGAAAATTCAGTTTAATATAATTTATTACAAAGAAAGCATTAAATCCTCACACTGGTGAAGCTGGAACCAGCAAATAATTATTTAAATTATAAATCGATTGTAAAAAAAAAAAAAAAAAAAATAGTTGTTTATTAATTTTCTGTCTTTGTTTGTTGGAGAGAGATTCTGCACTCTGTCTGATGAAGTGATTTCCAATTTCACATTTTCAAATCAAATTAATCTTTTTATTCTCACAAATGCTTTGATGAAGCTGCATTTAAATATTCAAAGCAGCACTGATCTGCTCCTGAAATAATTTTTCCACTGCTAAGGTTTCAAAACACCTGATCTTACATGCATCTCTCCCCCTTTTGGTAATTTAAGGATGATGCAAATATGACTGTAATTTGCTGGTGAAAAAAACAAAAGGTTGGTGGTTCACTTGGAAACACCCAGGATGGGTCGTTTTAAACCAGGTGAAAGTGAAGTCATAATAAACACCTTGTTGTTGATTGGGTTGTTACCAGTCCTAATGCAGCGGGATAAATGCATGGAGACACTCTTGTGGCAGCGGCTGTACAGTCACATCCCAGACGCTAATACACTGGAGGAAGGCCACTGTCCGTTAAATGGCTGCTCCAACGTGTCATCACTTTTTTCCAATTATTTTAACCAGTCACAGACTTCTAATTCATTTTCTTTCAGAAAACACCACTGAGAATTTCAGACTTTGATTACAGAACATGCCCAAAATTGTATGTTTTGAATGTCATTAAAGCCTCGAGGTGGCAGTTTATAATGCATTGATACATTAATGTACGGTCAGTGGAAGAAAACAAGCACAGGCTGTATTTTAATGTTACCAAATGTTCACATGTTGATGACATTTATAGATGTGTAAATGCAAATTTTGTGGTTTATTACTTTTATATATATTACTTGTGTGAATATCAGTCGTGTGTATGTGCAGTATACAACATAACTCCTGGTTGGTATATCATCTTTAAAATGTTAAGTTAATGTTAATCCAAGTCCAAGAAGAATGAAGCCATTTGAAAAACAAACGTTGACTGATTCATCTATAATGAAAGCTCCATATTTAATAACCAACAGCAACTAAAGTCAGTTCACCCCTCTTTTATTCCTTTCTTTTATTTTTGTTATATTTTGTAAGACTTTTATTTCTGATGACAGATTGGATCCTCCGGGGCAGAGATGATGCCAGTCTAACACAAATCTGTGGAGAGATGTTGTGTCAGTCTTCAGCGATGATTCTTTTCAGTTGCTCTTTGCTGGAGGGCGTCTGTTTCTCTACCTTCTGCTTTAAAATACTCCAAAGTCGTTCTATTGGATTCAAGTCGGGACAGATTTTGTCAAAAAAACAGTTTTCACTTTTTTCTTCTTAACAAACTCAGATTTTTTTTTACAGTGTGTTTTTGGACCTTGAGACTCGGAGTCATCTTTTCATTCAGTATTTGCGTTTCTTGCATTCATAGTGCCATCTATAATCATCTCCCCTACACCTTTTGCACTCATGCACACTCCTTCCATGTTTCACAGTCAACACCGCAGTCTGTCGCATCTGCCTCAGCAACCTGACGCTCCCTCTGCATCTCAATCTGCGTCTCCAAATTGTTCACACACACGATTTTAGCCCTGATTTTACACTCACAGCGCACTCAGATCGCTTGTTGCTTTGAGTTTGTACATACACTTGTTGTAAAATGGAACAATTTTGAATCATTTACCAGTTGTATACTTATATACTTACTTATATACCTTGCTGTCATTTTTGGGCCTTTAAGTCTTCGGCTGTGTCCACACTTACACATTTTCATTTTTAACTGCGTTTTAAAATGAATACGAAGGCGAGTGTTTTAGCTTAATATTATCAGAAATAATCTCCGTCCATACCAACATGCCTGAAAACTTATACCACATTTTCAAGAGTCTCTGTTTTAGAGGTTCGAAGACTCCCGAGTAGCTAAAGTGATGCATTTTAAAACTAAAATGTGGATTTAATCTTTGTGCTAGCACTCTGCAGAATGTAAATCCCAGACCAAGTTATGGACCGTGAAGCTCAGAGGGCGGAGAGCTGCCTTTTGGACCATCTCTGCTTGGTTTGTATTCTTCTTCTCCACGTCCCTGAAGTGCAAATGCTTTTCAACATTCACCACACAAGCAGCCTG